CAATGGCATGAAAAAAAGGAAGGAGTCACTGTTCCAGATGAAAAGAAACTTAAAAAACATAACAACCAAGTGCAATCTATGAATTTGCTTAGATACCGATTTGGATTGATTAATTATAAACAGATTTTGGGGGGAAATCAGAGAAATTTTGAATATGCATTGGTATAAAAGTGATCACTAGTTTTGTTAGAATATTGGTCATTACATACAAATTTTATTTTATGTGTTACAGATTTTACTTGTTTACTGTTAGAGAGAGGGGAAGGGAAGGAGAAAGAGAGGGAGAGAAACATCAGTGTTGGAGAGACACACGGATCCATTGCCTTTTGCACGCCCCCAACCAGGGACCTGACTTGCACACCCTGCCCTAAGGGAATCCCTAAGGGAACCTGATGATTGGATTCCCAGGCATCCTAAGGTTCTTAGGTTCCCAGGTGAGTAGTCAAGGCTGATAAGGCCCCACCTCACTTTTTGTTGGCTATCAGCACCTTTTCCCTGGGTGGAGCAATGCTTTTGGTTTCTCTTTTCCCTGATAATCCGAAGTGATCAAGAGTCAAAGGAGAGTCTTGGGTGGAGCAATGCTTTTTGTTTCTTTTTTCTCTGATAATCTGATGTAATCAATAATTGGAAGAGTGTCTTGGGAGGTCATGTTTCTCCACAACCAACTGAAAAAAGAGCTTGGTCAGGGGGAGAACAAAAGACAAATTATTCCTTTCCCTCCAGAGAGCACTCTGAACTTGGAAGAAACATTTCTCAACAACTAGGCTACGAGATTCAGAGTGTAAATATGCTTCCCCTGCAATTCTTAGGGTTTTCCTATATTTTGGGAACTCTAAGTAATTTTGCTTAGCCTCCAAAAAAAGTATTACAATCCCCACACAGTCTAAATATAAAGTCTTTGTGTTCATTTCATGTAATTTATTTCTGAAATAAGTAGGAATGCAGAATTACTCCATGTTCTTTTTTGCATGTGTTCTTTGGTGAAATGTGTTTTTGTTAAAATGTAAAATAGTTTGTAATAGCTCTTCATCTGTAATTTGAACAAACAAAAAGGTAAAATCTTAGCTCACATCTGAGCCAGAATGCCTAGGAGTATGGCCCAGGAATCAGTACTCAAACAAGCTCCCAGCTTATCTAATCTATTGCCTCCACCACTTCCAGCATCTACATAAGCTTTGCCACACCCACATGGCTTTTTGCCACTACTCACTCAAGTTGTTTTCATTAACTTTAATATGGTAGTCATCTTATGGTGTTTAAAAATTTTTTTTGAAGATTTTATTCCTTTTTAGTGAGAGGGGATGGAGAGAGAAAAAGAGGGAGAGAAACCTCAATAGGCTGCCTCCCACATGCCCCTCAACCGGGGACCTGGCCCACAGTCCAGGCACATGCCCTGACCAGGAATCAACCAGCAACCTTTTGTCTCTCAGGCTGAGGGTCAATCCACAAAGCCACACCTGCCAGGGCTAAATTATGTTTTTGATGCATTGTTTTCTAAAAATACACATCAAAGCACATACGTATTTCTTAAGTCCATCATGAACTAACCAGAAGCAGCCCCTGCATCACTCCACTACCCCTGGCTGCAAGTTTGGGAAGACTGGGTTCAGCAGCTACCCCACCCAGCAGACCAGAGACAAACTGCCTGCCCCCCCTTCTTCTTCCAGGGCGCCTCTCCAGAAGCCCTCACACTGCTTTGCGAAAAACCCCTCTCTGTCAAGATGTGCCCCACTCCCACTATCCTTCCCCTATATACCATCTTCTGTCACCCCAACCTAACCAGCCCTTTCTATATAAACTTAGGAGAGTGGCACTAAAGCACGTGAGTAAGTGTTAGCATCATTCTCAAACACATGTGTTCAAAGCGCCCTTTGCAGCCAGCACCCGTGAGACAGTGCCCCTGTCTCCAGCCTCATCTCTTTTCCACCCTCGTCATTCACTTGGCTGCAGCCACGTTGGCTTTTTTAGTCCTTGGAACACACCTTACTCTCTCCCTCTTACTGCACAAGCTTCTTCCTGCCCCAAATCCACGCGTGTGGTGGATTCCACCAAGTGGCCGCCTTGTTTGGTTTAACTCAAATGTCACCTCTTTCTCAGCAGCAGTCCCTGACCAACCCTGCACCACTCCCCACCCACACGCCTTACCCCCCAGCATCCTGTATCACAGGGATTTTCAACCGGGGATGATACTGCCTCTCAGAAGACATCTGCAGTTGTCAGCACTGGAGGATCACAACTGTCCCCTTTTGGTAGAGGTCAGGGATGCTGCTAAACATCCTATGATGCACAGACGGCCCCCACAACGAACAGTTATCTGGCTCCAAATGCCACAGCTGAGAAACCCGGCTCTGTCACTATATTCTCACTCTCTGCAGCATTAGTTGGTACCTGAATTGATGGTTTGGGGGTGGGGGTCCCCTACTAAACTGCAGCTCCTCAAGAACTGAAGTTCAGGGTTGTTCTCTGCTCCAGCCCCAGCACGTAGCGGAGTGCCAGGCACACCTGACTTCCCGATCTTGCCCCACCTGCCCTTGTCCTGGGGACCCACGGCGCATCGACGGTGCCAGGCAGAGACTACTGATGAGCCTGAGAAAAACAGCTTTCAAAATGAAAACAAAAATCTCTTTGTCAGCGTGAATAAAGTGAAACTAGTAAGAGACCCTCACACTTTCATGTACTCACAATTATCTTCACCATCAGTGAAAGATTGGTTCTGCTACTTCTTCAAGAGGTGCCAAATTTCTCAAGTTTAAAATACGGTTTTAGTTACAACTGTGTCCTAATGTTCCAGGACAGATTGTCGACAATGAAATCTCAATACATTCTACAAGATTAATATATTTGCAGAAAAAATAATATTTTTAAAAGATTTTATTTATTTAATTTTAGAGAGAGGTAGAGAGATAGAGAAGGAAACCTGTGAGAGGAACATCAGTTGGTTCCTCACACGTCCCCAACTGGGGATCTGGCCCGCAACCCAGGCATGTGCCCTGACAGGGCACAAATCACCAACTTTCCAGCTTTCAAGCTGGTGCTCAGTCTGCTGAGTCACACCAGCCAGGGCAAAAAATAATTTAATATTAAGTCAATACTTTCCCTTCCTTCCATCGAACCAGTTCTTCTTCTCAATATGGACAATTATTTTCTATGGTATAAAATGATAGCCTAATTACCTAATATCTACTTTTCCAAAAAATAAAATTATTTTTAAAAATAAGAAGACACTGCTTTAGCCCAGTGGCTCGGCTGTTCAGAGCATTGTCCTGTATACTGAAAAGTTGCAGGTTCAGTCCCCAGTCAGGGCACATGCCTAGGTTACGGATTTGATCCCCTGCAGGCGTGCACATGGCAAGCTACCAACTGATGTTTCTCTCTCCCCCTTCCTTTCTCTCTAAAACCAATAAACATATCCTCAGTTAAAGATTTAAATAAATAAGAAGGTCCTATATAGCAAGGGACTCACAAATGCAATATTGTAGAAATTATTTATTAGGCACTAGTGCTAGGTCAGCTATTACTAAAAACTTGAACAAAATAAAAACTCTTGCATTTCTGCAATGGTGTTCACTTTTCAGACTTCTCTTAATTGCTACTGTGCTCTGACCCAGGTATGGGAATAATGATCTCTAACAGATGTAAAAATGAAGGCATAAAGAGCAACTTGGCCCAGTGTCATCCAGTGTCACCGGTAAGAGTTAGGCTGGAACTTAAGTCTTAGTTCTAACCCTGGGTATCACTTGCTATCCCCACCCCCCAATATGGTTTCACAGGTGCTAGTGGGCAGGCCAGCAGCTAACACTGTGCTCATGACCTCCAAGCAAGTACTGGAAATGCTGGAATAAACAAAGCTTGACAGAACTCCAGAGCCTTCGATGCGCCATCATGAAGGTGACGGAGAATGGAACTGCATCAGAATCCGAAGCCCCACAAGTCACAAAGCAGGTAACAAGCGTGACCTGCAGGTAAGGCAAGGACTAGGGGTGAGAGGATGGGATGCCACCTACAAGGTGCTGACGGCGTAGGAATGCCACCCAATGCCACAGGTCTTTCCAGAGAAGCTACAGGTCCGGGCTTTAAACTGAAATCTCCATGTTCATGCATGTTGTCTTGAATTTAAAAGAAAAACACTGTAATTTGAACAAACTTTTTTAGACCAGATTAGGCTGGCCCAATTTGGGAATTCTGATAGACAATGTTTAACAATCTTATTTACCCATATAACCTTTACTCACGGATACTTGCTATTAATTTTCTAGAATTCTGCAGAATTGTGTCAAAAATGTTGCCTTCAAATATAAGCACCCTGCCCTCCTGGACCACTCTGAATCTCAAGTGAGATTTCAGGATTAACTCAAATTGGAATTAATACCCAGCCATGTGAACTATTAATGTAAAAATGTCTCTGCTGGCAAAAAAGATTCTTATTTTTTGCTTCTTATTTAACTGTCCTGGCAAACTCGGAAATTTAATTCAGTTGTGAAAAAGAAAGAGCATTGAAATTGATTTGATATACAATAAAACTTCATTCTTCTATAATAATTTTATGAAAGGATGCTCAGCATCACTAGCCATCAGAGAGATGCAAATTAAAACCACAATAATTTTAATAATTAAAGTGGTTGGGGACAATTTAGAATCCCAGTTAAAACTAGTAATACTCTCAAACAACGCTATTATACTATTCTAAGGCTGCAAGTGGGTAAAGGTCTTCTTTAGTCGATCCCTACTTTCTGCCTTTTATTTTTTAAATCTCTACCCTGCATCACCCTAAAAATTAGTTCAGATTCCCTGACAGTGGTCTACATAAGTGCCGGGAGCTACGGCCCAGGTGTAATAGGAATAGGGTGTGTGTGTTAAATCAGGTGGCAACTGATCTTCTTCCCCTGATCTGCTTGGTCCACTCACCACCCTCGCTTCTAACTACTAGAAACCCCATGCTGGCCCAAGGCAAAAAGCACTTAAAACTGTCTATTTTCAGAGAAAAAAAAGTGAATGGCGAAATCACACTGACTTTATTTCATAATGAAGGAAATAAAAACCTATGAACTTCCATGATTTGAAACCCTTGGGTGACTTAAGAAATGCGACATGTGGAGTTAACAAGATAAAAAACAAGAGATAATCATTGAATGCTTCCAAGTGAAGTCATTTAAGTACCAAGTCCTATATGACCAAGGAGGCAGTTCTCTGTCTCTCCAGTGAGAATTCTTGCAGGACACAGGATTCATGAGGTCTGAAGTGTTCATTTCATACCTGGGAGAGAGCTCGGCTATGATCAGAAAGACTGAGCCAGTTTCACATAAAAAATTAAGACCGATCACCGCTAAGGTCGACTACACACAGAAGAGTTAAAGACACTCAAACCAACATCACTGACAGGTTGGAATATGGTGGGAGATTGACAGAAAAGTCATTGTGGTGCTTTAAAGGACTCTGACATGGTGAGATCTGGTCGCTGTCTTCTGTAGTCAAGAGCATAAAGCCTTTGACGGTCTCTGGGTCTTAATTCCCACTGTAAAGTTTGTTCTCAAAGTGGACGCTCTCTTCTGCTCGGTAGTGCACTGCTGTGTCTTTTGGTGGAGTTCCGGTATTTGGCGGAGTTCCGGTCAGGAGCTCTATAGGTGAAGGCTTGCTACAAAAAGAATCACGTGGTAAGAGAAAAGCAGGTCCCTTCTAAAGTATACGCAGCGGGTTCCTTTACGATCAGGGCAGACTGAGCATTTGCACCTCCCAGAGCCCCACTCCCATAACCTGTGGAATGAGTAGAACCCTCCAGAGCTGTTAGTGTTCAGTTGCAGGGAAGTCTGTTTAATAAGCAGGTAGAAAACCTAAGCAGTAATAAATAAGTCAGACTAGTCTCCTTCAAGGGGCTCAGGGAACAGAGTCTGAAAACTGAAAATCTAAGACAGATACATGATATCAAATTGAAGTACTAGATCAAGGTGCATGTTCTCCGAGTTGGCTGAGGAACTGTTTGGCTGCTGTTTTTCCAGCGTGGATCGTGACCTATCAGAAAGCGTTATTAAGCCAATGGTGTGGTCTGCATTCTGTATTTAAGATAAAACAGGGAATACAGAATTCAGGGTGTATCGGATCTAGTATTTAAAAGTGTTGTTTTACACAAGTGTGTGCTGGATGACGGTGCCACAGATCTTCCTGCGTCTTTACGCTCAGTGTTTGAAAACCAAGAGTTAGATGACTTTTATGATACCTACCCTCACATGTCAAGTGCGCAAAAACTTTATGTGTAGCATTTTCATATAGCTGCTGTTTTATAATTTGTACATAGTGACGATGTTTAACCCCTGAGCCTCTCCAGAAATGATATGACATGTACTGCGTCTTCACACAACTCAGATCTGTAACTGAACCAGGCACACAAGTGCGAGACCGTTTAGGTGTCGATGGCAGGAAATGAGTCATGCAGCTGCCAAGAAGCACATCCCGAGGAAATACCTCTTTTGGGGTTCTTGTTGTTATTGTTTCTTTTTTGTCCTTTTGTATATTTTAAATAATTGTCTACAACATGTTTTTGTTTATAATTAAGTGATAAGACATGAACATAAAGAAAACATTGACATTGAAAGGGCAGACACCAACTAAAGGGACGCTATGGTCCATGCTTCTGGCTGTAAGAAGTGTTTTTCCCCTTTTATGGATGGAAGCAGGAGGTCAAAGCTTCCATTAGCATGGGTTTTGAACTCTGAAAGACCTAATATTGAGTCTTTTATCTGCTGTGCGTTGTGAACTTGGACGTCACTCAATATTTCGAAGCCCGTTCTCTGATGTGAGGAGCGAGAACAGCAGTGCTTGTGTCACAGGTGCGGTGACAGGCAGGAATGACGGCGACAACTGAAGCCCACACCCGCGGAGCACTTGCAGGGTGGTGGGTGACGCCCAAGGCAGACTCGGTGGCTTGGCTCATGTGATGAAGACATAGGAAAGACTGACACCCACCAGTAAGGCATGGCAGCCTGACAGGATGGCTTCTGAGCCATAGAAAGACCTTGCTTAAAGCCCAAACCCACTGAATGAAGCAGGCTACCTGGAACTGGTAGCAGGTAGTGGTTTCACACCAATCAGGTGTTTGCTCAGAAGAACCCAGGGCGTGAAGGAAAGTAAAGGGGATTTAAGCTTTAAGTGAGCAGTAGGATACATTTACACAAATTGTAAATCAAATGTCTATGAGGCCAGACAACCAACGTGAAGGAGCAAAGCAGGCTTTGGATGGAACTCAGGGCGGGGGTCTGCAGAGCCCAGGAGGCCCCCACCCCACCTCAGAGCTTGTGCCCTGCTTCAGCCTGGCGTCGTCTCCCTCCAGGTCTCTGCAAGCGGCCACCTGGTCCATCGGGGCTCGCTCACACAGCCCCCTACCCGGGTCTACGGTCCCCATGGTATTTGCCTGGAAGCACTAACAGGACCCTGTTCATTTGCTTTTGTGTTGTGTCTGTTTTGTTCATCTCTGTGGACTATAATAGGCTTTCAGTAAACAAAGGACTGAGTGAAATCACGGACAAACCAAACAACTCATTCCAGTGTAATTTCATCAGACACAACTTGTGACTTAGTTCCGTTACTCCTCGAGGTGAGGACGGGGCGCTGTTTCTGGAGCGGTTCCTGGCACAATGCCAGGGGAATACGGAAAGCTCAAACTATCACTGGACACTGTGGACAGCAATGCAGACCCTCACTACACTAGAGTTTTCAGCATCTGGGGTGCAGAATGGAGAGTACAGGGGGAGGAGAGGGCAGACAGAAATTTTTCTTTATTTTCATTAGGGTAGGAGCCATCAAAAGGCAGCAACACAAACCTTTAGAGCTTACCTTATATTCAACACCTTTCGTTTCACACATAAATGTCCTAAATTGGGGAGCAGTTGAAGAGAAAATTAAACATGTCAGCCAAGAGCTTCATGAGATCTTTTCCCGAATGTGTATATTATTTCTGCTATTACTTTAACTAGACAAAATATGTACAAAGCCAGAGGCCAAAAAAAAAAATTAAATTTAGAAGAATGTTTTTTGAAAGGAAGAAATCGAAACAAAAAAACAGACTAAAGTTCTCCCTGATAACTTCAGGTAACTCCTTTCGAATACGTAGGACCCAAACGAGCCCCTTCATGCAAACTGTCTCAGGTTCATTGTTGGTTTAGTGTATTCACACATGTGCCCCAACTTATTTTAATGCAATTATAATAATTATACTTCATTTGTGAAAAATGGAATGTGTGGTTCTTCACGAAGGCCAGTCTCACACACACACACAGACACACACACACACACACACACACACACACAGAGCTGGATAGCTACTGAGATCTGTTTCCCTTCCACTGTCTCATCGGCCTCCTCGGTTAAGTGAGTGTTGTAAGACTCTCCACAATGTTATCCTTCATGGAACATAAATTGGGTCTTGAGGGAAGGACAGGAGAAAGAGTAAACAAATCTTACATAATAAGGTTTGTTGCCTTCCAAATCCCAACTCTACCCAGCAAACTCTTACATCTTAATATTTAATTTCTCTGTAGAGAAATTAAATTTCATTTTTCTCTTTATAGGCCAATATTTTTAAGAGAAAAAAAGAACAAGGTTATGAAATGGGGAAGTTATGTGAAATCAGAGTAACGTGGTGTGTGGAGCTGCTTGAAACCAGGCCCTTTGGCTCTAGGACCGTCGCTCTGTTCCCTTCGACACAACCCTGGGATGACTTACGTACTTTTGGTAATCACAGTCGTCAAAACACTGAGCAATATCAGCGCGGTAGCGGCAAGTCCAATGTAGAGAGCCTTATTGGTGTTCATCCACGGCTTTTCTTTCAAGTTCACCGGCTAAAGAAAGATCAGCAGATTGAAAAAGCATCTTGTTAGAATTATAGGGAGAAAACAGGTCCTAAAATAATGTACTCAGACACATTTATCTTTATTGGCCCTTGCCTACTTCTAGATCATGAGGGGTAAGACTAAGTGATCTGAGGTTGTAACCAGGGGGAAATTCTAAGACAATTTGAAAGTTAACATGTACTTGGAGATGTGGAAATCTTTCATATCATGCTTGAAGTAGCATTTATGCAGGTGCACATATTTGTTAAAGCTCAAACTGTATACTTCAAAGGGTATATATAAATCACCCATATTATTTTTAAAAATTAGTAAGCTACATACTCTTATTATATTAAAAAAGAAAGAACAATTTTTTTCATATGCAACTTGACTTGGTGATTCTATATGATGTCATCTGAATGTGCTCAAACATTGAACTCGGTCATTAATACAGTCCTTATTTTTTTAACTATAATTCAAGGTTCTATTGATGTCTATGGAAATGGGCTCAAAAGCAGCTGCTCACAGACATGGCTCTGATAAAATTAACTTAACATGCTGTGCAATTGGGCAGAAGTGCAGAGTTTTGTTTAAGTCTCCTGGTGCCGTTCATAAGGATCACCCTTCTAGAATAAGCCCAAAATATGCCAGGCATTGTGCCAGGCCCCTTTATATAGATTAGCTCCAATCCTGAAAAGATCCCACAAGTTAGATGTTTTAACAGAAAGGAAATGGAAGATCAGAGAGAAGCATCAAGCCTCTTGCTGCATGGAAGTTCAATCTCTGGAATCAGAATCCTGTCTCTTTTAGTTGCTGTGTGACCCTCAACAAGTTATTCACCTTCTCTGAACCTCGGTTTCTGTGTCTGTCAACTACAGATTAAGTAATGTCCTTGGCCCTGGCCTGGTAGCTCTGTTAGTTAGAGCACCATCTGCTTATGCCAAGGTTAGGGGTTCAATCTCCAGTCAGGGCACAACGCCAGAAGCAACAATGAGTGCATATAAATTAGTGGAATAACAAACTAATGTTTCTCTCTGTCTCCCCTCCTTCTTCTCTCTTTTTAAAATCAATAAAAATTAAATGAAAATTAATAAATATGCTCCTTGAGAAAGGTACATTTAGGTACTTCCTGGAAAGCACTGAGAGGAATGTGAGGAGGGTAACTGAGCAGTTGAGCCATCCATGTTTAAAGGGGAAATGGCCACTGTCTGAGAAGGAAGCCTATGTTGGGATCACCTGACCTGTGGGGGCTAAAGTGGTAGACAGTACGAGGGGCTGCCAAAGGAGACTTTGCATTCCATGTCAAAACTACTATATTACATAAAAAGTGCATGTTCTTTTTACAATGTGCAGCTAAGCATGAAGGGAGGAAAACTAAAATCAACCATAATCGTAACATCCAGAAACAACCATTGTTACCACTTTTTATTATATACTCAATACTGTTTAGCACTTCGTTGGAATACTACCGCTCAAAAGGCCTGGGAAAGATAATTCCCAAACACAGCACTGAGCCCCAGGGTGTTTGCGGGCCTCTGTTAATGAAGCCGAGCGCAGAACGCCAGGCCTCTGAGAGAACACAAAGTCAGGAGAGTCGGGGCCACTGGCAGTGCTCAGAGCCTTTCACAAACGTGCTTCTAAGTTGTTTCTACTTTTCGCTAAACATACCTGTCCTGCGGGCAACTGAGGTCAAGAACAATCTCACCAGTTAGAATATTGGTTGTTTTTTTTTTTTAATTCAACGTAAGTCTGGCCATGTAGCAATGTAATAATCATTTCCATAGTGATAGTTCTGATATTTAGGAGGTAGAGTCTGCACGAATTCAGCCCATGTCCAGCAGATCAATCTGTGTCTGTGCACAGAAGTTGTTCAGATCCTTAGTGTAACTCCTACGCAGTGTTCTCATTGTCACTGAGGTAGACAACATCAAGTCACTTGACCCTACACTAAATAATCCCCCTTTGCCTGAGCTTGAATGTCCTTTACTACAGCCAGGTTGTCATTTCTCACCACTTGGCCCGGGGTTGTTCTCAAACTCTTTTGTCAGCTGCTTCTAAGAGTTGTTTGAACACACAAAGGGAAAGTGCGTTCTACCCGGGAGCCAAAAGAAAAGTGTCTTGTGAATAACTTGGCCTCACTTATCTGCAAAGAGGAAACTCGCATGAGCATCATGACAGCACTGACCCTAGCATCGTTCTCCAGCCCGACAGTGCAAGAAAATCTTTCACATCACCAAGTTGCTGAAGACATTGAAACCTTAGTAAGCCATCCCATGGGGAGGTTCCGATGTAGAGAAACTCTGCAGCGCCCTCAGATTTTCTGCACAGGAAGAGGACGGGGTTGGAAAGGACACTAGGGAGCCTATGTTGATGCAGCGCCCTTTCCTTACACAGAACTTGGGTTGGGGCGGCCTCCACACCACCGCGGAGACTCCAAGCTCGTTACTCCCCTAAGGGTACCTGGAGTCTTCCTGAGCGGGCTGTGTTACTCACTCTCCTGAAGTTAGTTCATTATTCTTTGTCTAATTTTTGGCCAGGAGAAACTCTGTCATCTGTGAGGGTTGTGCATGTGTTTATGTGAGTAAAATATCACTTACCGGGCATCTCTAACATATGAACTTTACAAGTTAATTGAAGCATCCCTATTTAAGAAACAAATTGTTTTCTTCTTTGTCTCTTCACTAGAAAGAATCAGCCTGGGGGCGAGCCTTACAACGTGCTTCCAGAGACACACAAGGGAAGGTGAACAACACAGGGGATCTGCTTACGTTTCCACCGTCTGGCCAACCCCCCTCTGAAGGCCGCATCACCGTGCTGTTCCCGCCTGCTGGACAAAGAGGCAATTATTTAGAGTGAGAAAAAATACTGAGTTTTTGATACAAACACCAAATATATTCACATTGCTTTCTGATAACAAATAATAGGCCCAAATGCAACAGGCATTGCAGGAATTATACCAAGTTACTAGTGTTTATAAATTTATCCTGTAAGGTTATGTTTCTTAACATTTTTGTCATGGACCCTGTGAAAATGGACCCCTTTTTTCTCTTTGTTATGGAAAAAATGCATCACATACAAAGTTTTACCTACAATTTTAGGAATACAGAAGCCATTCTGGGAACCAGGTTAAGAATGCCACTTGTACATAAGTAGGCAATATTTTTATGCCAGCTAAGAACCTGTCAATGAGTGCCCAGAAGCCACGTGCACATCTGAACATCAGACTACGCTATTCACGACAGACATTACATTGATTTTACACTCACACTACAAGGGAAATGTACTAAGATATGTAAAGCAGGTTGCATGTAACTCCTACATTATACACCAATGTCTATTTTGTCTGGTATAAGTATTGCTACTCCTGCTTATTTTCTTTGTTTCCATTACATGAAATATTTCTTCCCATGCCTTTAAAGTTTTCAGTGTTCAAATTATAATAGTGCTTTGAAATATCCAGTTTGCAATAGAGAACATATGGCTGGCTTCCCTAGATAATTATAGGTCAAATATAGAATTCTCTTTTAACTGAGAATCGATGATGTACAATGCACTTCACATCTGTAAAATTTTTTAATCCCATTTTATAGACGAAAAATCAGACCTGGAATAGTTAGGCAAGTTTCCTACTCTATTAATGACAAAAGAGTCCAATCATGACTGCCACACACACTTAGGTTCTTTGAAACTCCCTAACTACTGCCAAAGCTATAGGAACTCGGTAGTAATTTCTGTGTTTACGTTTTACTCATTCTGAGACTACTTCAACCTAAGGCAATATCTAGGATTAGGCAATGTCTATAGTCTAGGCTGTGTTTGACCTTAAGTAAGTCCTTCACACACAGAACTGGATGATGCAGTAAAAATAGCAGGACTTCAGTCACAGGATATTGAGTTCTAATCTGAAAATGTCCCTTAGGAGTGTAACCTTGACCACAGTCCATTGCATACATATATTTGTGCATGCGTATATATATACACACACAAATATGTATATATACATACATATATACATATACATTATATATATATGCATATATATTTCTAGCTAGGGTAACCTTGAACTACAACTGCAACATTACTATCACTCATCTCATAAAGTTGTGAAATTAGATGATATATGTAAAGTAAATAATGTCATATCAGATAACCATCAGCTGTTACTAGTATTATGTGCTCATAAAGAAAGGAACAGTGGGCGGGCACACGATGCCATGAATTTCCAAACCTCTAGCCTTCGGTCGGCATAAGCCTCCAGTGAGGGGCGCAACCACTTGCCCTCGGGCACACAGCTAGACCCCCCAGTGGAATTGGGAGCTGACTCCAAAACACAGCCCCAGGGCCTCCCCAGTCTGACAACAGCAACTACTAAGGCCTACAATGAAAAAATTAAATGAGAAAGTATGAAGTGTCCTGGCACAGACAACTGGCCAAGGTGGGTGGTGGGCCTTATGACAACCCAAATCCCTTCCAGACCTAACACACTGTGCTTCTCTGAAGCTGCAGCCCCCGGAAGCTTGACTTGGGCACAGTGAGGGGTTGGCTCTGGAGCCTCAGACACCCGCCAAGATGGAGACACAGCTGCGCCAACGTCTGTTCCACCATGGGAAGATCCACCTTCCCCAGGTTAGGGTGACACGACATTTACAGAATCCTTCCCCACTGCTGCCTTCTTCCCCTCACACCCCTGAGAGTGCGGGTGCAGCCGCCCCTACTGCTGTGCCCTTGTGTTCTTATCTACTCCCACTGTGCTTATGTGTCTGGAAACACTTCCCATATGAGGGTTCTGCATTTAAAAAACAAATGTCACCATCCTCTCATTCCAATGGAATGGGTCCCTCTGTGACTCTCACTGCAGGCCCATTTTCAATGAACCATCTTCCAGGAATGATTGGCAAGAGGTGGGCCATAGGGGGCCCTACAGATTGGCAGCTCCTGAGTGCAGTGAGTCATGCACAGGAGGAGTTTGCAAGGTTGGCCCCTGTTTGGATACAGCACAAGCACAGGGCACACGGCCAGCTCTGCATTCCCAAGGGCTTCAGCACATGGCACTCCCCACGCTCACCACTCTGGGTCACAGAGTTAGCTGGGGAAGATGACCAGCTTCAGGATCACCTTTCTCCACTCTGGGAAAGACAGGTCAGTCTTCCACTGCAGAAGAGGAGAGAGTACATGGGACCAGCCCAGAAAGGGGAGACTGGGGGAGGCCTTTGGAAAGGCAATAGCAGATTCTCTGTGGGGCAGGCCTCTCTCTTTGGTGCCAGTGCTGGTGGCCTCGAACCCTCTCAAGGATTTCTCTAGGTCCACCCGCAGGCCTCACGAGGCAGTAGGACTGCCTCCTACATGTACTGAGGCTCTGGAGCTCAGGCAAAAGGTCACCACAGGTGGACAGTTTGGTCTGGAGTTCACTATTTTACAACTCTGGCCCAAGGTAGCAAACCCAGTAATAAATACATGTGGATGTACTCAAGACCAGTTCATGTGATTTAGAAAAATAGAGAGATGCATGTACATGTTCCCAAATCATGCAAGTTCCCTATGCTAGTCAGGTTTGTGTGCCTGGACATCAAAGTAATAATCACAGTGGCTATTTTAACTATGCCCCAAGCTGTCCTTCTCATTTAATCCTCACAAGGGCTCTATATGGTCAGTGATGTTCTGTTCATTATGCAAATGAAGAAAACAGGTTCAGAAAGGGTGAGACATTTGTTCAAGTCCCATAGCTGATTGGAGGGGCCAGTGTCGGCAATTGTGTCAGAGCTTGTGCTCTTCACAACACGCCAGTGATCGTCAAATTTGAATGCTCTCGGTCTTCAGGAAAGAAAATGAGGTCACCTGTTGTGCAAGGGTTCGATGGTGAGCTGGTCCTATTTGCTTCCTGTGTTGTGATAGGCTGGGTGCCTGTTGTCTGCATTAGCGAAGATGACATGGTTTCTGAAACAGAAAGGATGAAAGGGCTCTGTTCTATTTGTGGAGAATAATTCCCAACCACCTCCAACAAAACGAAAATCAGGAAGTACCTTCGACTCTTTCTTAAAAACTTATTCAAAGATAACATTGAGGCACTGTACTGCCATCTCCATTTTTTATTAGTAGTAATAAATCTGATATTGACTGTGCTCTAGATTGTTAGCCATAGACAGAAACTATTCACACTCTCCATACCTCCAGGATCCCCCGAGTGCATAATGCCCACAACCGCGCATCTCATGCAGGAGACCCAGTTCAGCTTTATTCACACAAATGACATTCCACCTGCATGGAACAGGGCCTGGCAGTTTGCACTGATCTGTCCTCCCCTCTTCACACAAAGCCCCATCTGGGTTTTCTGACCTTACTGAAGTTCCCACTTACCCAACCACACCTCTTTCCAGGGAGATGCACATAAGGACCAGCTCAGGACACACACTCACAGCACCTAGTTTCTGGAAGTCTCCTCAAGTTGACTGTACTGCCCAAAGTCTCAACCTGATAATCATTGACAACCCTCAAAGCAAAGTTGATTCCAAATAAGGACCTTGGTCCCAGTTCCTTCTTCAGTGGCATTCCAGTCACTACTTTTATAAGACTAATTTCCTGTTCTCTGACTCATCTTCCATCTCCCACCAAAATGCTCCCCTAGATTCTCCAACACTCAGCTGTGCATCACTTGCCTCTTTATCAGGCCCTTGTGTTCCTGCCCCTGAGAGCACCACAGATTCCAGAGCAAATGAGAGGTGCTGGCCAGGCAAGGATTCTCATACCTGGCCTTTCCTACTGCCTCTCACTGGTCTCTCTTTTTCCCCTTTGCCATCATCATCTTCATGTTTCAACATCACCCTTCCTTATGTTCTGAACCCATTTCATGTTTTCCTCCAATACTGAACCCGACATCAGGATGTGGCTCTCTTCAGGACAAAGAACAGGACAGCACAAGAAAGTCAGATGATCAGAGTCTACCCACCTTAGGTCTGTGCACAAGACCTCTGGACCTTAACTTCATCCCCAGTTTGGTTCTTTGTGGGCCTCTTTCTTTCTCACCTGCCCTTCTAACCTTGTACCCCACCATCCCCTGAGTATCTCAGGAGACCAGCATGTGTAGAGGCACTGAGCACAGGCAGGGGATGGGCGTAAAGGAAAATGTCTCCGCATTGAATTAGCTCCAGTGTTTGCCTCCTTCCTGTACTGTAAAGCTCACCTCTGAACTCCAACTCATTATGAAACTCTCAGGATAAGGATAAGGCTCAATTCAGTTAACAATACAATTACTATTCCCCAGGAGGTCACACGTATTTTTTTTTCTTCTGTCTGTCTGCTTCACATGAAGTCAAAAACTCACGTATGTTCACTAAACCTTGTCCACTAATCCTCACACTTTTGTAGGCACATGCTAAGTCAAACTAAGTACAAAGAAGCCAAATCAATATTGAGAAAGTCAACAGATTCTTTAGTATATTCAGCTACTTGGGACAAAGCTGTTTTTCTTACAAATTTTTATGGCTCTAAATCCCAGTTTTACCCTGAAGCCCTCTCTTCCATACTTAGCTCATAGCCCAATGCTTCAGGTCCTTTCTAGTAAACATACACTGGTTCAGTGGGAATCAAGGAAAATCAATTGTCCCATTAGAAATTTCTCCCTAAGAGGTTGTGACATCTCTTATTCCTCATAATCCAGACCACTTTAAGTTGTCAAAGAGTTATGAAAGCTTTGAGACTCTTTACTAAAATTAGGGTTCTTAAAAAAGATTTTATTTATTTATTTTTAGAGAGGTGGGAAGGGAGGCAAAAAGAGAAACATTGATGTGAGGGAGATATATCAGTCAATTGCCTCTCATATGCCCCCACCTGGGGACCTGGTCTACAAAGCAGTCATGTGCCCTGACTGGGAATTGAATCAGTGATCTATTGGTTTGCAGGCCAGCACTCAAACCACTGAGCCACACCAGCCAGGGCTAAAAGTTATCTTTTTTAATCCTACAATAGAAGGTTTGAACCTAAACTGGTCCTTAGGAAGCCACTTATTTCCTCACCCACATGTGAAATTATTCCCCATTTGTTTTTCACCTGAACTCTTGACTATCAGAAATTTGAAGTGTGAAGCATGTAGCCTGAATTGAAAAAGGAATCATATATTCTCATTCTAAGTCCTGGGACCTTAAACCCAACATTTACTTTGTCATTAGTGTAAACAGCATTCCCCTCATCTTTATGCTACATATTAAAATAAAGAATACTAGAAGCAAAACTGTGCAAGGCACTAAATGATGTAAAAACCAGGATGTCAGTGTGGATGTCAGATCAGGACAAATTCATCCTAACGTAACTTCAGGCAGTGCTCATGATGGAAGGCATGATCCAGGAGTTATAACTATGGCCCCAAATTCAAATTAATGGAGATCGAATCCTGGCTCAACCACTTTCTATCCATATGCCTTTCAACAATATAGACACTTTGCCTAGGTTCCCACAAATATAAAATAGGTTTGAACTGCACCACCATTACACAGCGTTGTCCTAAGAATCAAGTGATATGATAACTGTGGGAAATTCAGCATGATTGTTGTGACATAGGAGGTGAGTAAATGTTAACTTCACCGAAGTCTTATCCTTGAGTTGAGTGTCTGTCTTCAAAGCCAACTGAAGCCTCACTCAGAGCTACATGTGAGGACAGAATCTCATTAACCTGACCCTTGTTCTCTGACATCCCTATATTATCCTTATAAACCTTCGCTCAATGAAGTCAAATCCACATTATCCTCATTAGATGTAAAAGATTAGTTGTCTGTAGTTTGTTGGCTAACAATGAATTCCTTTGAGAATCTGATTAAAAAAAAAAACACGGGTCCCTTGATCCTGAAAATACTTATAAGTATGAAAGGTGCATATAATACACACAGGCGTTCACAGACCCTGGAAAGCCATGTTTGGAACTGGAGCAGAAGCCTTACACTAGACTGTACTTCTGCATTAACACAATCCCTGGGATGGTCTACTGCACCCTCTCATTAGAAAGCCTCTGGCCTCAGAAACACATCAGTTTGCCTGTCTTGAGATTCAGTGTGGATGATGGCATCGCTGGAGCAGAGACAGAGACCCTAGGTGAGGCTGGAACACTGGTGACCTTCGGTGGAGCTAGAAACCAACATAAAGCAAGGATTAAAAGCAGCAGGAAATGAGAACTTTGGGCTGGGCCTATACTTCAACTCAACCAATGAGAGACCAACACTAGTCTCCTCTCAACTCAGCATTCTTGTCATTAATCAATTCTAGTATGAAATGGGAAGGCTGGAAAAAGTCTGGTAAAAAGGAATACCTGTAAATGTACCATAGTTTTTTGATCCATTCATTTACTGATAGGCACCTATGTTGCTTCCAGCACTTGGCTATTGCAAATTGTGCTGCTATGAACATTGGAATACAACAGAATTCTATGCAGCAGAAAGAAAGGAGCTCCTACCCTTTGCAACAGCATGGATGGAACTGGAAAGCATAATGCTAAGCAAAATAAGCCAGGCAGTGAAAGACAAATACCATATTATCTCACCTTTAACAGGAGTCTAATCAACAAAACAAACAAACAAGCAAAATATAACTAAAGACACTGAAATTGAGAATGAGCTAACAGTAACCAGAGGGAAGAGTGGAGGGAATTTCAGGGGGAAAAGGGAGGGTTTGCAGGAACAAGTATAAAGGGCACATGGACAATAACAAGTGGGGGGGATGGAATCAGGAGGGAGGTGGGAAAGGCTGGGGGGGTGGGCTGGGATAGGGGTAAAAGACAGAAAACTGTGCTTGAACAACAATGAAAATAAAACCACTTTTTTTAAAAAAGGAATACCTGCATTGAAAGGTATAAATTCCAGAAGGTACAGTGGTGAAAAGGTTACCCTGGATTTGCACTGAAGCACTTTGCAAAGAGTATCCATACTTGGGGTGGTGAACACATAATACAATATACAGATGATATATCACAGATTGAGTACCTGAAATCTATATAATTTTATTAATCAATGTCACCTCAAAAAAATTCAATTAATTAATTAATTAAATATAAGAAAGGAAGAATAGCCATGACTGTAATATTTATGTATCTTTATAAACATCTGTGAAGGAGGGAAAATGCCTAGAACCTGGACCTGTCTTTGTCTTCTCAGTGGTGAATGACAAAGACTTAAACAGTAGTTCTCAGGCCCAGAATGTTTACAAAATAAATAGTATTCAGATCAATCAGTTCTGAGGTTACCCTCCCAAAAAACCAGCACCTTAAATGAGGATGAACTCACACCCATTCGCGTATGCTAGATTGTAGGGAGAATCTATGCAACATACATTTGGGTAGAAGGTGGACTAGACCACAGGTAATGACTTTGACTCTGCAGTCAGAGGTGGTGTAGGATTTCAAAGCACATACACAAGGTCCCAGAACTGCCCAAAGAGAGAGAGGGCTGAAGTTAGAATTAAGCCCTAACACAGCACCTGGCACAAAAGCAGATCAATGAAGGTCTGATTAAACAATGAACACCCTTGGATAGGAGACAATTGGTTGAGAAGCTCTTCTTTGTGAAGACATTCCATTCAATGTAGAATAGAGACAATATTTGCCTTAGGGGGAAAAAGCCTTTGAACAAATATTTTGAGTATTCATTACATGCAAAGCATTAGTCTAAAGCAGAGGTTAGCAATCTTTCTGCAAAAGGCCTGAAAGTAAATTATTTAGGCTACAGGGCTCTCTGGGCTCAGTGGCAGTTGCTCCAGTCTCAGGGTGAATGTATCCACAGACGAGATAGTATAATGATTGCGTGTGGCTTTTCCAATAAAATTTATTTATAGAACTGGTGAAGAGCCAGTTTTCCAGTCTTATCTGTCCCTGGGGCTATAGTTTGCTGACTTTGATCTAAGGTATAGTCAGAGGCCTTTAAGAGGAGTGCATTCCAATTCCCTCTCTACATTTTAAAAATCTAATCTAGAGAGGAAAAGCAAGCACACAAAATTTCTGATCAAAGGAGCGTAGGAAACAATGAAGAAGAGAAAACCTAATCAGGTTGTTTAGTGAACTTGTTTTCTTCAGAGGTAAATAGTTTACTCAGAAAGTAACCACAATAAGGAAGATGCTGATGAGAAAGAGCTCTAACAGCAGGTTAAAGAATGGACTAAGCCCATAAAACAAACAAACAAACAAACATAAGCAAGAATTGGTTATTAAAGGCAGAGAATGACTTTGGCTCCATTATGGACCCACTACCCACTACCCTCTAAAGAGAGCACTGGCCTTGTAATTACCTGCTTACTAAATAAATGGGAGTCACTATACAAATCTCCTACTGACTCCTTTCTATAACATTTTTAAAAAATTCAGCCAGAGTCCTGGCTGGCGTAGCTCAGTGGATTGAGCGGGGACTGTGAACCAAGCATCGCAGGTTCGATTCCCAGTCAGGGCACATGCCTAGGTTGCACGCCATGGCCCCCAGCAACCGCACATTGATGTTTTTCTCTCTCTATCTCTCTCTTTCTCTCTCTCTCTCTCTCCCCCTTTCCTCTCTAAAATAAATAAATAAATAAATAATCTTTAAATTAAAAAAAAATCAGCCAGATAAAAATAATTTCACAACTCCAAAGAAGCTATAATCATAATTTCTTCTCCACATGCTAACCCTCACATCTCTCTGTGGCTCACTATGATCTCATTAGCTTCCAGAAGAGCGTCCCAGAGTCAGCTGTTTTCTTCATCTAAATGGAGCGCATCGTGTTTGCCTTCATAAGAGAGACAAGCCAATTCCAAAAGCTGGGAGATCACAAAATAAAGTCTCTCCTAATTAAGAAAGAAATGGAGACATACGTTATTAAGGACACAGGTAGTGGGTCCTATGGTCAACATAAGACCTTAGTGGATGGATATTCACTAAGACTAAGATGAGCAGAAACCAGAATATCTCTGAGAATGTAAGGTTTTTATCAAATGATAAGACTATTGGTATGTCCATATCACCATGAAAGATTTTTGGATTTCATGAAAATCTTAACAGCAACTGGGGAACAGTTATTGGGAGTTTTCATGATATAATAAGGTCACATCAATGTATATACAACAAGATTGAACTGACAATTTTTACTGTTAGTGATGTATCTACTTGTCAGTACACTCACTCATAAAATAGGGTTGAATCACACTAAAAATGTACAGGGTTCTCACAAGAATTTTTGACATAATACTTGTAAAGGACTTAGCATGGTTCCTAACATAGGGGACAGGGCAAATATTATCTTCACTGAAAGCTTATCCTCGAGTGGAGGGTCTGACTTCAGAGTGGACCAAAGGATCTCCACTCAGAGAGCTGCTTGTGAGAACTGAAACCAACAAATAACCTGACCCTCCTTCTATGGCATCCCTAGAATTTCCTCGTAAACCTGTGCTCATTGGGGCTGAATCCAAGACACCCTCGTTAGATGTTCAAGATCCATGGTCTGGGGTAAGTTGGCTGATAATGAACACCTATGAGAACATGATTTTAAAAAAAAACCATGGGTCCCTTCACTCTAAAAATATTTATAGGTACAAAAGGTTCATGCATTAAAGAATGTGGATGACGAATACTGCGAGGCCATGTATTTAATCCAGGGCAGATCTTATCAGAGATTGTCCCTCTAACACATGGCCTGGGTGGTCTACATCCTCTCATTAGAAGGCCTCTGGCTCAGAAACACATCAGGTTACCTGTCATGAGGTTCACTGTGGGTGCTGCAGTTGTGGGAGCAGAGGTGGAGACCCTAGGTGATGTCGGAGCACTGGTGGCCTTAGGTGGAGCTAGAAACCAACACAAAAGCAAGGATTAATCAAGCCGCAGATAAAACTAGGCACTAGTCTCTCCTGAACTCAGAATTCTTGCTATTGGCCAACTAGAATCTGACACGGGAGGCCTTAAAGACAAGCTCACAAAAAACGGGAAACAGCTGTATTGAAAGGTACGTATTTCCACAGGTTCAGAGGCAAATAGGATATCTTGGCTTTGCAATGAAGCACTCTGAAGAGACCAGCCATGTCTGCCTGATTTATGTATCTTCATAAACGTATGTGAGGTGGGGAAAACGTTTAGGGCCTGGACCTGCCTTTGCCCTTTCAGGGGTGAATGACTAAGACTTAAATTGTAGCTCCCCATCCTGGCTGGTGTGGCTCAGTGGGTTTAGCGCCAGCCTGTGAACTGAAAGGTTGGCCATTCGAGTTCGATTCCCAGTGAGGTCACACGCCTGGCTTGCAGGCCAGGTCCTCAGTTGAGGGTGCGCATGAGGCAACCAACTGAGGTTTCTCTCCCTCTCGTCGTTCCTTCCCCTCTCTCTAAAATAAAGAAAATTTTAAAAAATAATAAAATTGCAGTGCCCAGGCCCAGAATGTTCACCAAATACATAGTATTCAGTCCAGCCAGATCTGAGGGTACCCTCCCAAAGGATATGCACACTAAATGAGGAGTATCACCTATTAACATAGATATTCTAGATCACACAGATAATTTTTATATTTGGCTAGAGGTGGACTAGACCACAGGAAATAACTTCAACTCTTCCCAGAGTCAGAGGGCCTAGGGTCGCAAACCACTCACCCAGAAAGAGAGCCGACACCAGAATTAGGCGCAAGCAGAATGCCTGGCACGAGAGCAGACTGATAAAGGCCTGACACAAGAACGTGTACTGTTGCCCTGGTGTCGTTGCTCAGCTGGGTAGAGCGTGGTTCCCATTAACAAATGTTGGGAGTTCTATCGTTCCTGGGTCAGGGCACATACAGGACTGAACCAATGAACGCATAAGTAAGTGTGAAAACAAATCGATATCTCTCTTTCTTTCCCACTTCCTCTCTGTAAATAAATACATTTGAAAATTTGAAAAAAAAACTGTCCCCTTTTTCTCACCAAATACCATTTTATCCTGCAAGAAGTCTCCTAAAATCTCAACTTTGGGGCATTCTTGTATTGCCTCCCAGGTATAGTTTTCCCAGAGTCAGCTGCTTTCTTTGTCTGAGTTGGCCTTATCTTACTTGCCTTCAGTAGAGAAACAAGGAAAAGCCAAAAATTAAGAGATGTCCAAAAAAGTTTCTTTTAATTAAAAAAGTAAATAGAGACATAGCTTATTAAGATCATAGGTATTGCATTCTACTGCTAATATAAAAACTTAGTTAAGGAAAAACTATGATAAAAATAGATATAAAAGATGAAAAAAAATACCCTAGTTGAAGGAGATTCTTTGAGAGAGAACACCAGAAACCATGAAATCCTCCAGAACTTACCTGTCTCAGGGAATGTTAAGGTTATTAGCATGTGCGTATCAAGAGATGTAAACTTCTGAGATTCCTGGATTTCATGAAAATCTTGAAAGCAACTGGTAAGTGTATTGGGAATGCAGATGTTTTCATATTACAAGAAGGTCATTTTAATGTTTAAACAAGTAATGTTGTGATAGCAGGTGACATTTACTTAAAAAATCCAAGATGGTGCAGAGTGTGGGGGTGGGATTACATGGGTTTACACAGTGTATATGCAACAAGATTGAGCTGATAAATGTTAAAGCTGGGGATGTATCTATCTACTTGACAGTATCTTATACAATACTATTTAAATTGTCCCTTTGAAATTCTCCGCAGGAGTTTTATGTTACTATAGGTCATATTACAAATGGAAGTGATCAAAGGAAGAGGCAGACAAGCTCACCTGGCTTTACATCCAATAATATGTTGACTTTCAAATCATTAAACCACCCCGAGTACTCAACCCGGCAGCAGTACGTGCCACTGTCAGACTGGGCTGCGTCCTCGATGGTTAAGGACACGTTGCCTTGAGAAATCATTCCCTTCAGGTTATAACGCCTGCTCTTCTGAAAGGTGATGAGGTGGCCATCCGTCCAGATGAGCTCATTCGGGCACCGAGTAAGAGGACACGCCCCCCGGCCCCAGCACATGGAGGTGGTCCCACCAGCTGTGGAGTAGGTGCAGGGCAGCGTGACCGACTGACCCGCCACCCCATCCACACGTGCCTGAGAAACCACAGCATCTGCAATAAAGAGAACACAGAGCACGAGGCCTCGATATTCTAACTTTACACTTATTTCCACATTTCTCTCTTTACGTAGTTTATTTCACTGGTAATCACGTGACTTTACATCTTTAATCGAAAACTTTATTATAAACACTTTTCTGTTTACATCTTTATCAGCATTTTGTTTTATGATTATAAACAACACATCATTTAAACACTTTTCTGTACTTAGGAGTCTTTCCTAATAGGATAAATTTCTAAAAGAGAAATCACCAGAATAAAGAGCACAAATATTTTACATCTTGTTTTCAAATTTCTTTCCAAAATGTTCAAACCTAATGACACTCGAGCAACACAAGGGCATGAGTTTCATTTTGGGTCTGACAGGATCTGCTTATTAAATAGGAAACACAAGGATGTCACTCTTCCTGTCCCCAAGAGCCAGTCACTGTCTCAGTTGAATACATCTGAAAATTCGATTGCCATTGAAGTTTTAGCTTTTATTGCAATTTTTAAAATGTCTATCGCAAACAAAGTCACCTCACTACCCCTCTCTCATAAAAATAAGCAGGGCTAATGTTCTGTTTAAAGTATTGTTGGCTTAAGAGCAGAAATCTAATAAACTCTTCAAAAATCAATTTTTAGAAAATGGGTTTCTAATACTTCCAAGAGGAGTGAAGGCTTATCAGGTGCTTTAGGGTTGTTCTAAAAACCCCAGGTAGGCCCCTGTTCTCGTGAGTGGATGGCAGCCAGCTCCAGAGCACAGCCCGCCTCCCCTGGGGAAGCCAGAGAATTGGAGAAGGCTCAATCAAGTGCTGGATTATGCCAGTTAGGAACAAACACTCTCTCCTGTGCTAGTGGTACTAAAACCCCATGTCGTCTTCATAAGACTCAAACTGCACAAAGTGTGCAATGAAAGACTGGTCGCTTTCCCATCCTAGCCCCATTTCTCCTCTCCATTCCCTCCCATCCCATAATAACACTGATACTATTTCCCCCATACACACATAAGCATACCCAACTATCTACCCACCGCCTTTTTTGTTCAAACACAAATGGCAGTTATACTTAGCCACGGAGTTTGTACTTGAGAGCATTTCAGCAATTTCTTTGGAGGAAGATTGCAGCCTGGTTCTTTGCTCACTAGTTGACCCATTACCTTCCAACAGAGCCCAAGAACATCCATCTTCCTCCACCACACCCACACGCTCAGGGCTTCCAAACCCCAGCCCCCCCCCCCCACTCACTCACCTGTCCAAAGTAGTAGAAGGCCTGTGAAGGCTACCCAGGAATGCATGATGGTATCAGCCTAAAGGAGAGAGAAAATGGGCTGTTTGGTGTGCCCCCCCCACCACATGGTATGGGGACAAGTCCTTAATGCTCAGATTGCAATTTTTGCTTTCACCCTGACTGGGTGAATCGCAGGAGCCTCCCCTGCTGGGGATTGGTGACCGCGTACAATGGCTTCAGGTCTCTGTCAGCTCAGGGTGGCTGAGGGCTCTGCACCTCTGACAGGCAAAGCTGTCCTCGGAAACAGTTCCTTATTTCCCAGTCCTTCCCCACACATAAAGTCCAAACCTATTCCTGATGCTCCCACCAGAGATTAGGGAGCAAACAGGAAGGAAGCCAAGGGCAGGCTCCGTACAGAACACGAGAGCAAAGACCAGTCTTCCAATGGTGGTGGTGCACTTACCCTTGGCCTCCGAGACGATGGTCAGCTGGCTCTTTGGGTGTTGAGGGTACTTTCTGCCCTGTGGCCCCAATGGTTAGTCCCCAGCCTCAGTTATATTGCCACGTTACATATTAATAAGAATTAAGCAAGACTATGAATCACTGTGTCTCACCATTCATGCTACAAGAAGCAAGCACTCATGCGTTTTACTGAATGATGTCAGAATCTGGACCGGACTTAGTGTTCACACACACAGACCCAAGCAAAAGGCCCAAGACTGAAAGCCTACCTTCATACATGACAAAAGGAGTAGGCCACACCAGTCTGGCAACTAACAGTTTAGTAAGAAAAACTTACACACAAGCCTCCTCTCGAGTGATTGTAAGATGAAAATGGATCTCCATGCCTCTTGGCAGGTGCCAGAGAATTATGTAGAGCAAAGGGTGGGGACAGTCATAGGTACTAGGTCTTGAGTGCTACCAGGTGTTGGAATTCCCTTACACACCTGACCAGGTCAGGACAATGGCCTGCTCCAAGAATTGGCACACAGCAGGAGACAATGCAGGGGTACTGAGTAATGTCGGAATGAAGGTCAATTATGATTGGATAGTCTTGAGGAGGGGTCTGTGGAAAGCAACCTCCACTCTGGCCTGGACCCTGCTTCTGGGACCAACAGAGTCACATCATGGGACAATTTCTCCTCTATGCTCCACCCCTCGAGACTTGCTCTTCCAATCCCATGCCTCCTCACTTCTGAGTTGGCAGCCTGAGTGGTCAGCGAAGGGCTTCAGTAGTATGGAGGTTGCTTGCTCATGGCTAATTGACTGCATTGAAGACACAGTTCTCAGCAACAGCACCAACACGTACAAGAAAAGAGGCAAATTGGAAGTAGTTCAAAATTAACAAATTAAATACATACATACACACATACATAAATTAGTCCAAATATTAGTAACAATTTTTCCATCATGTTCCCCCAGAAACCAAACCAGTGGGTTAGTAGGTCACCAAGTAGGCTTGGGGCCAGATCATTTAAGGCATTTACAGTGTCCTTGACTTTTTATCTGTGCTAACAAAAAAAATATTAGCAGATGCATTTGGTATAAGAACACAACATTCCATTTGGATAATGGCACAGGTGGGCCCCATCCCCATAACTAGATGCCACAAGATCAGCAGAAGTCTAAGATCAGAAAGGCAAATACCAAGCAGGGATTTGAATTAGGAGGTGTCCCCCCACTATGAGAATTATACTAGTCTCCTGGCCAGGCTGTGTAAGCCATACATGTTGGCCAGGAGAAGTTGTGCTCTCTGGCACGAGGAGGTGAATAGGAGGGGAAAGTGCCAGACTGGGACCCATTCTCCCGTCTTTCAATAGTGCGTGTACCAGTCTACATATTGCATGTCTCCATGGATGGGTCTCAACAGCACTGGAATGACAAGGTCCCACCAGGGACTAAGCAGTCCCTCCCCATCCAGGGGTGTGAAGTGGCTGACCCTCCCTATTGGAAAATCCCATTCCATATTCTACTAAATGGTCCTTGTTCCAGGGACAATAGTGCTTGGTGCCCTCATTATCATAGCTCCCTGGCCCATGACAAGCTTAGGGGCCTATTGCTGTGTCTTTTGTTTTCCACACTTTTACTATAATTTAACACAAAGGGAGAATGAAATTTTGACTTTGTGCCAGTTTACTTTTGACACTTAGATCCACTTAACTAAATGTATTCTAATCTTAGAACGCGTAACCAGATCGGGACAATGGGCCTACACCAGGAACCAGCACGAAGCAGAAAGGAAGGAAGAGCTGCTGATTTTTCTCAGAATGAACATCAGTTATCATCGGATACTTTCTAATGGGGGATTGTGGAGAGCAACCTCTCATCTGGCCCAAGCCCAGCTCATGGGACAGACAGAGGTCAGGTCAAGAAACAATATCCTCCATAGTTGGGTTCGGATCCCAGCTTTTCCACTTACGGGGCTGGGTATCTCTGTGAGTTAGTAAGTTGGTCCAAGCTTTGATTTCCTCATTTATAAAATACCACTACAAATACTTGCTCTATCTCCCTTAAAGGACTGTCATAATGAATAAAAAGGCTATGTGTGAACTCTGCGTGAAAACTACAGCCAGGGTGTGAGAAGAATTTACTGTGTCACCGGCTTTGTGCATGCTACTTTTACAGAACTTCTTAGGCAGGTGCTGTTATTAGTCCCATTCCTGGAGGAGGCTGAGGCTTGGAAAGGTTAAGTGAGCCTAGCTTCCAGACAAAGTCTTCTTACTTTTGCTCTTAATCATTAAACCATACAAACATATGAAATCCTGACTAGTATTTCATTAACTCCCCGTCTGGTCTAATGATGCAGTAACTTCCTCCAGGCAGGCGCCGGTCCCCCATTTCTAGTAGCCCATGAGAGGCTTGGTGGAGACCCCAACCACCACCAAAGGTTGGGGGACAAATTCTGAAGTGCCTCCTCTAGAAGTAGGTCATGTCTTCTTTATCTGGGAGGCAAAAGATTTAATGACTAGTTCTGTTAAACTCTGAGACTCTGCCCAAAAGCCGGATAAATTACTGATAAGGATTTTCTAATTTAATCCAATTCTTCCGCAGTTTCTCCTGTTACATTAAGGCTAACAGGATATGACTAAAGATACTAAGGATACCAGGATTGTACAATCGGGCTCAGGTAAGTAAGCATTTAACTAATAAAATTGGGCAGAATAATATAAACAGTAAATATATAATCAGACGTGTCACTCCCCCAATTATAACCCTCTCATGGCTCTTTCAGAAAAAAAGATCCTAACTCCTAACCCGGATACAAAGGCCCCGTGATCTGGCCCCTGCCTGCCTCTCAGGTTTTTCTACCACTCCCTCCCCACCCACAGGGCTCTAGCCAAACCCGTTCTTTCAGACACATCCCTACTTTAGGACCCTTGCACTGGCCATACTCCCCACCTACCTCCCCATTCCTTTACTCCACCATCTCCAGATTTCTCCTATTCATTCTGATCTCTGCTGAAATGTCACCTTCTCAGGCATGCCCCTGTTGCCTCCGCCTAAAGTAGCCAACCACTCTCTGCATCACTGTATTTCAGTTTTCTGCGCTGTTTGCTAATCTTGCTTCCCATGATGTGTCTGTGTATGTGCTGTCCATTTCTCTCAGAATTTTCTGTGATGATGGAGTTATTGTATATGGGTGCAGAGCAAGCCCTTAACATGTCGCAAGCACCAATGAGGAGGTTAACATTTTTTATTTGATTTTATTTTAATTAATTGAAATTCAGGGAGCATGTGAGATCTTTCTCCTGGCACATGTTGCCAATTTTGGCTGAAATAAATACTTACAGGGATGTAAATAAATTAATTTAAAGTTAAATAGCCACACATGGCTATTGTGTTGCAGAGTACTTAGTACTGATCCATAAACCCTCTAAGGCAGAACCTCCCCCCCACCCCCGTGCCCTTCCCTTTCTGCTCTGTCCCTGAAACTTTGTAATGGACCCAAGAAGCATGGATTGAGTAACCAAATGGAACCACCAAGGCATGGAGAGAGATTCTTTGTTGACTGAGGGGGCTTTTGAGGGGGAATGAGAAGACATCTCTAAACAATGTGAAGTTGACAGTTGGAGCATGGAAGAAGGGTATTTTAAGTGGAGGGAGTAATGAGCAAGAACCAAGACCTTATACAAAAATAAATTCAAGGTGGATAAAAGACTTAAATATAAACTGCGACACCATTAAAGTCCTAGAAGAGAACGTAGGTAGGAAAATCTCAGATATTTCACGCAGATACTTTTTTATTGACATGCCTCCTAGAGCAAGGGACATAAAGCAAAGAATAAACAAATGGGACCTCATCAAAATAAAAAGCTTTTGCACAGCTAAAGAAAACAGTATCAAAATAAAAAGAGAACCAACTGTATGGGAAAACATATTTGCCAATGATACCTCAGACAAGGGTTTAATCTCCAAAATATATAAAGAACTTACACGACTCCACTCTAAGAAGACAAGCAACCCAATTAAAAAATGGGCAAAGGTCTTGAACAGACACTTCTCCAAGGAGGACATACAGAAGATCCAAAGACACATGAAACGATGTTCAGTATCACTAGCTATCAGAGAGATGCAAATTAAAACCACAATGAGATACCACTTCACACCAGTCAGAATGGCCATCATAAACAAAGCAACAACAAGTGTTGGCGAGGATGTGGAGAAAAGGGAACCCTAGTGCCCTGTTGGTGGGACTGCAGACTGGTACAACCACTATGGAAAGCAGTATGGAACTTCCTCAGAAAATGAAAAATGGATCTGCCTTTTGACCCTACAATTCCACTGCTGGGACTATATCCTAAGAACACTGAAACACCAATACAAAAGAACTTTTGCACCCCGATGTTCATAGCAACACAATTTACAATAGCCAAGTGCTGGAAGCAACCTAGATGCCCATCAGTAAATGAATGGATCAAAAAACTGTGGTACATTTACACAATGGAATTCTATGCAGCAGAAAGAAAGAAGGAGCTCCTACCCTTTGCAACAGCTTGGATGGAGCTGGAAAGCATTATGCTAAGCGAAACAAGCCAGGCAGTAAAAGACAAATACCATATGATCTCACCTTTAACAGGAACCTAATCAACAAAACAAACAAACAAGCAAAATATAGCCAGAGACACTGAAATAGAGGACAGGCTGACAGTGACAGAGGGGAGAGAAGAGGGAATTTCAGGGGAGAATGGGAAGGGTTTACAGGAACAAATTTAAAGGACACATGGGCAAAAACCAGGGGGAGTGTGGTAATGGGAGAGACAGGGGGAGGGGTGGGTGGGTGGGCTGGAATGGGAGTAAAAGGGAGAAAACTGTACTTGAACAATGATTAAAATAAAAAAAATAGAAAAAAGGAAAAAAATAAATGTAAAACACTCACTGAATTTTGAAGACTTTCAACAGAAAAATAATTAAAATTATTAATGAAGTTTATATTTATTTTACATTGAAATAATACTTTAGATAGACTGAGTTGAATAAAATATATTCCTAAAATTAATTTCAGCTATTTCTTTTTTACTCTTTTGAA